GAGAAGAGAGGTACCGCTCTCAGTCTATCTGCCTGTCTTGGAATTGTGATGGTCGGAGATGACATTCACTGATGACATGTTTATGTATTATAATTATGATCCCTCGTTATATTAATTATGTAGTATCTTTGAAAGAAGTACTATTATTATTACTGGCATTGTGTATCTTATTATCAATTATAGTTCATTATGATTTTTGTTTTAATTTGACCCTGTCATTTCATACACACACACACACACAAAGTTTGGCCAATATCACAATTTAATTTAGTGGTCAGTGTACACAAACTGTACTTCCCCTAACTGTAGTCTTGAGAAATCAATCGGTAGAGGTACATGCAGTTCATCCTTAAACTTCTTTATATTTGGTAGGGAAACTCCTTCACCTTCATCATCAGTAGCTCCCTTGGGCCGGCTATGCGATACTACATCATTTCCCCCACTTATAATTATACCAAGAGTGTATCCACTATTGATTGTACCTATAGTACATCAATAATAAAATGAATTCAGTCATAGAAATAATACTTTATGTTGACCTGTTTGTTGCAACTATCTCAAGAAAAGAAGGGAGATAACAGTACACACATACAATGGTAATTGTGTGTACTACATGTAGTTTGTGAATTGTACCATTGTTAACCGCATGTTCGGGCATACACAACTTTTAAATTTTGTAGTCTGTGTGTCACTAAATAATTACAACAACCCTGGTTGTGTGTGTATAATATTATTAGTTGTATTGTAAAACCTAGTAATTTACATAATTTTATATTAATGTAGAAACATTAATGCATTTGAGGGGAGTCATAGTGTTCCTTGGTATCAATGATGATGGAGTCATTAAAGGATTTGTCTGCATGAATACATAGTCAGGGCCTGGATGATGACGTTCCAAACTTAATTACTGACAAATTTATTTATAAAAAGAGCATTTAAAAATTTCACTTGAGAACTTGCTCAGTAGATACACCCCACCAGTCCCTCCATATTTTTATAAAGTACATTTATCATAATAAATTTATCATCATCATTAAAATCATTATGATTTAATTATTAGATGTCATTTCTTCCTGTGATTGTATTTTGTGAAAAGGCTACACATGCTGTTAACCCAATGCAAAGGTAGACTTAGTTACTTGTACTAACACTTCTTACCCAATAAGACACCAAAGGTGCGTGGCCTTGCCGCTAAAGCTGTTTGGGAGGTGTTAATTCCCCTACCCTACTCTCAACAGTGCTTTAATTAATACTTACTATATGTACATGTTCTCAACATCTCATCTCTTTTGCTCCTCTGTATATTCACTTACTTCTTTCTTTTATTTTCTATTTCAGAGGGAGAAATTACCTTTATATGTAGCACGAATAATTTTTGAACCAGTTTTGAACTTGTGACACAGCCAGCTCTACCTCAATGAAGAAAACAAGTGCTATATAAGGAGATCAGGCTCTGTGCATGCTGTATGTTACAATTATTATAGTGCATGCAATGACACACCACAAATTATGCATATTACATGTATATAATCATTCTTTTAGTGTTCAGTCAGTGACATCATTAGAAGAACAAAAGAAGAAGTGGCTAAATGTTATCTTAAGAAAGTATGTGAGAGAAGATGAAGACCAGTTTGTAGTGTATTCTAACTCTTGGCTATGGTGGGAGGTAGGGGTGTGCAATACAACAAATACTACAAATTTTTATCTTAACTATTATGATAATATCGTATATATATAGGTCAATTTTAGTTCATGTCATTCAATATGATAATAGCACACACATTAATTAAGCCAAATTAACAGTTATAAGTTTTAATTACAAGAATGATCAGAGCAAAAACAAAATAATGTCATTCAATGAACATAATATGAGTGATCAATGCTGATAATAATAATAATAATAAAAATAATAATAATAATAATAATAATTATTATTATTATAGAGAAACCTGTATCATTTAGCGTTCAGTGTGTTATTATCTGGGAGGGAGAGAGAGAGAGAAGGAATGAATACTATGCACTAACTCAGTTGGTACATCAACAATCATGCCATGACATATTACATGTAAATGCTAGGTATAGACAAAAAGAGTCACTTCCCCTCCCGAATATCTGACAACACCAAACATTGCCATTGCCTTGTCATTTAATAACAAAGGATTCAAGTTACATCCACCCACTCACTTGATTAGCTTTGGAGTAGTACAGAGGAGAGGAGAGTCAGCAAGAGGTGGTGGAGTTAATAGTGACAACAATATCTCAGTATTACTAGCAGAGTCCATGTCACTGACTATACCACTGCTACCACTGTCACATGAGTTATCAGTGGATACTCTATCACACCTGTGGATTAGAGAACAGAGTCTAATAATGATATTTACATTTATAGCACTTTCTATGTTGACCCTACACCATGTATGTCATTTCATACTGTCATACACACCCACACACAAAAAGTTTGGCTAATATAACAATTAAATTTTGTGGTCAATACACACAAAGTCATGTACATGTATGTACACATAGATTATACTACCACCTAACCTTAGTCGGGAGAAATCGATTGGCAGAGGCAATTCCTCTTTAAACTTCTGCAAGGAAACTCCTTCATCTTCATCATCAGCAACACCATCATCCTTGCTTCTCTTGTGTAGATGTCCTGTATATTCTTCATTCATGATCCCTGTAGTAGAGGGATCAATACAAGACTCCACTGGAGGGGAATGAGAGTCACTGTTAGGAGAAGGGAGTGCTACATGTATGTCACTCATTGATGGGTCACTGATTGTTGGTAACAGTTTCTTGCGCCTACAAAAAAGTTGCAAGTGACATAATGTAATTATTAACAAAGTGTTTTGAATGGGGAGTTAGGACTTGCAAATTAATAATTAAAAGGATGTGCATTCAGGTGTGTACAGTAAGGAATGAAAATGGGCTACATGGGAAAGGATATTTATGACTCAAAATACATGTTCATGTAAGCAAGTGAGAATAAAAATCCCAAAAGCAATTTACATGTACATGTACATTGTATGTTAAAAGAAAAAAGGAAAGCATCAATGTAAGGTTTACAGTATCAAAGAATACACCAAAAAATCAAATTAATACCACTAATGTAAATTCCCTAAAATCAAGCCATTCACTATTATGTACATCAATTATTATAATGAAAATGAAAATTTGGCTCACTTCGACACTTTCTTAGTCTTCATCTTGTTTTTCCTCTTGTGACGGTATTTTATCATACTCTCGTATTCAACCAAACTTCTATTAGGAAAGAGCCTCACGAAAGACCTCTTCTCACCAGAACGAGACTTAACACTTATCTTCCCCTCAATCAGAGACGGGGAAGGAGAGAGAGAAGACTCTCTTGGAGAACGAATAGAAGGAATTGCTGCACACTGGCGAGAATCAGCTTCCTCCAAACACGAAATAGCAGATTTACTATCAACCTGAGTTGCCTCATTAGATACAACATCAAACACTGTAGGAGCCCCTGTCTCCTCTTCCTCCTCTTCCTTAGACAGGTAGACTATTAAGACAGCAATGTTATCTGCCTGCAGTTTCATATGACTCCAACGACCAAGAGCCTCTTTAATCAGAGCACTCACTACGTCTCTCTGGACATTAGTATCGCTATTACTGCTGTTACCACAGCTGCCTTTGCTGTCAGTGTCACTAATGAAGTTCACTACCTCCAATGGGCTCATGACGTTCCATAATCCATCACTGGCCAAAACAATGAATCTCTGTACGTTGAGGTCAATGGGAAAGTCACATACATACGGGACTGGAGAGACAGTATATTCTCCACTTTGGGCAGAGTACGACCAGATGTCACCTTGGGAGCGAGTGACGCCGAGAAATGGCCATCGATCAATCACTTTCTTTTCATTTGATTCAACTCGCTCTCTCTCCCAGACAACCCTCATGACGCCTCTTAGACTCAGAGCAATTTCACCACCTACATGTAGATGTACAGTGATATTAAGCAGAAAATTACCTGCTATAAGGTAATATGACTTGTAAAATAATTATAATTTATTTTTACATTACTTTATAACAATATATCTACATTGTATGAACACACAAATGTGTCTGTATATACCTAATCTCCTGGTATTCTCTTGCTCCTCAGGGTCCTCAGGCTTGTGGTCTTTAATGAGTACCTTGGGGATGATCAAAGGTTCTTCTGGCTCCCCAAAGTGCGGGTTTCTCACGCCCATGATACCAGTAGAGTCCCCTACGTTTGCAACGTATATGTGGTTATTTCGAAAGATAACAGTTGAGGCTGTCGTTCCAGCGGTACATAAGTCCCCATATTTATTAGGGGCCCACGAGGCTATAGAAGGAAAGGGAAAGAATAATGATAAAGGGCCATCTGTTAGGAGGGAAACATAATGTTAAAATAATAAATGTACATCTACATGTACATGTAACCGGCATGATGTAATGAAGGAAATGAGGCAATAACAGCAAACGATGGACACATAGGGAATGATAATGTACTCTATAGATAAAAAGGAATGGAGACTTAACAAACTTTATAATGCAACATCATAGCAGAAAGAATCAACCTGTTAGTAATTTTGAAAGGTAGCTAACATGGTTTTATAAGTAAGGTATTATGATAAGACTCATGCTCAGAAGCCCACCTCTGCTTTCTTGCATTGTGTTGTGTAATTGGAGGTAGGCATTGCTGATCGCTTCTCTAACGCTCTGTGAATCTTGAGTAAGGAACTTGGGCTGATTTTGTACGACGCTCCAGAGATGGTCCCTTGCGTACTTAGCCGCTTCTTTCCCACCATGACCGTCAAATACCCCCACAAAAGCCTGCTCTCTCATAAGGGGATTGGAGAGGAGGCTTTCCTTGGGAGAGAGGTAGACGGCGATGTAGTCTTCCATATATGGCCGACCGCCGGAGTTGGTCTCTGCCATGGCAGAGATGGTAACTGATGGCATGATGGCACGA